GTCATTTCACTTTTTTGGTAGTGTCCTTTGACACAAAATGTTTAAAATGTTGATGAAGTCAAATTGATCTATTTTGTTGTTGCTGCTCATGCTTTTTCTGTTATATCTATGCATTCATTGCCAAATCCAAGGTCATGAAGGTTTGCCGCTATGCTTTTTCCTAAGGGTTTTATAGTGTTAGCTCTCACATGTAAGTCTTTGCTCCATTTTGAGTTAATTTTTATATATGGTATGCGGTAAAGTTCCAGTTTCATTTTTTTGCATGCAGATATTTAGTTGTCTAAACAGCATTTGTTGAAAACATTATTGTTACCCATTAAATCATCTTGGCATCTTGGTAAAAATGAAGTTGACCATAGACACTTCATTTGTTAAAATGGACTTTCAATTCTATTCAGTTGATCTGTATGTCTACCCTTAAGCCAGTACTCCTTAGCACTGTCTTGATTACTGTTGCTTCGTAGCAGGAAGTGTGACCTCTCAACTTTATTTGCCTCTCTCTCTTTCTCTCTCTCTCTCTCTCTCTCTCTCTCTCTCTCTCTCTCTCTAATATTGGGGGCAGTGGTTTACCCTGTGTCATCTCTCCTCTCTATGGATCCAAGATCACGGTTGATTTTTCAGTGTGTTCAGTTTTTTGCCTGTTGTTAGGATAGAGTAGATATTTCCAAACTCCTTACATGCAGAATGGAAAACTTTAAAAATATATATATATTTGTATTGACTTCAGAGAGGAAGGGAGAGGAGATAGAAATAGAAACATCAGTGATGAGAGAGAATCATTGATTGGCTGCCTTCTGCATGCTCCGCACTGGGGATCGAGCCCACAACCCAGGCATGTGCCCTGGCAGGGAATCACACAGGGAATCCTGATTCATAGGTCAACGCTCCACCATTGAACCATGCTGGCCAGGCTAGACTTGGCTGGTCACAGGAAACCCTTGTCCCCACCCACTACAGGAGGACCCATTTTCCCCACCGCCCACTGCACACTATTCCTCATCTCTCAGTCATAGAAAAATTTAACTCCTGGACAGGCCTATTAACAGTCTATTGACTATACAGACATAAAAGGTGTCCATATAATTTATTATCCAATCCAGGACATATTTGAAAGTGAAAGGCGGCACTATTAATAATTATTATGGGGCAAGACTTAAACCAGGAGTGTCCTGGTTTGTACCTGTAGGTATAAATGTGCGCTTTGTAAATACACGAGGGGAAGAAAGTGAAGGCCCAACTTCCATCATAAGACACTATCAAGTGTCAGCAAAATGTTAGATTTTTAAAAATATTTTATTGGAAAAGTACTACGAGCTCTTCAAATGTGTGATCAGCAAAACTGTCAAGTATTTTCAGAGGAATCCTCACCAGGGTATGCCGTTTAATTTTTATTTTGAGAGAAAGGGAGAAAGAGAAAGATCAATTGCTTTCCGTGTGCATGGGAGAATGCTCCAACCCACTGAGCCACCCTGGCCAGGGCTCATGTAGCTTTTCAATAACCAAGGACGATGAGGTCTACCCTCCCCATGTGTCAGGAGGTTTCTTCTTCTTCCTACCTGAGGTGACTCTTCCTCCTTCACCAACTACAAGGCACTTCTTTGTGGTAGTTGGACCTGTATATAAAAGTCAACCTGCAATTCTGAGAGAAGAAATTGAGGATGATGGTAGCCTAGCTGCTGGCTGGTTCAGATTTCCCCAAATGCAGCTTATTATAATTGCCCAAAGCCTGATTTCACTGTCTGTGGGCATTTATTTCTCCATGATGACATGCACACAAAGGCACCCAGCGTCTTCCTGGGTACCTTTATTTTTCTCTTTGAACTGCCTGAAACCTGCCTAATGGGTGGTCATGTCATTTTTCACCCAAACACAGTGGGCTTTTGGCAGTTAATGAAATTCTTGTGTGCCCCCATGTTATGGGAATAGAGGGTAACACACACACGCTGGCCCAGTATCATCCCAGGGACTCAGCGTCCTGCCTACCAGATAATGGTGTCGCCACCTGGCTCAGAATGTGCACACAGCTCATTCCCTTATAACCAAGTGGTTTTCCCAGTCATTGCACTTGGTCCCAGGCTGCCTTATTTGCAGGAGGGTTGCTGATTTGGTGAGCGCTGGGGACATTCCCCTGCCGCTAATCATTTCCCCACACGACCTGAAATTCCCTCATTAGGGCTTTATCTTTGGGGGCTCAGAAATAAGTACATGTGACTCCTCAGTACCGTAAGCGACAATTTCACGCTCTCTTTAGTGGGAAACTGGGCTGATCATTCCTCTGCATACATCTGGCTGAGGCCGGAGAGAAGGCAGAGGAGTCTTGATGCAGGCGATGGGGTTGGGAGTGGGGGGGAGACAGTGGGCCAATCCAAGGGTGAGGTCTTGAAGGTCCTCAGACATACTGGCCTCGGGACAACCTTTTGTCGTGGGATTGTTACGAGGCCATAGCCCCATCAGCTAACGGCTCCACTGGGTGAAGGTTTCCAAAATGGTGGCCAAGAGACAAAGGGGAGGTAGGGAAAGCCCGCCCTCTTTTTTATATCTAACTAGAGGCCCTATACACAAAAATTCAGCCCTGCCTGTGCCCTCTCAGTCTGGGACCTCTTAGGGGATGTCCACCTGCCAGTTTAGGCCCATTCCCTGGGAGGTTGGGTCTAAACTGGCAGTCAGATATCCCTCTGGCAGCCCGGGAGCCCTTGGGAGATGTCCAACTGATGGGGAGCGGGCCTAAACCGTTACTCGGACATCCTTGTTGCTCCCGAGGCCCAGGAGAGGCTCCCACCACTGCTCCAGCTGGCCAGCCATGAGCCCGCTTCTGGCTGAGCGGCTCTCCCGCTGTGGAAGCACTGACCACCAGGGGGCAGCTCCTGCATCGAGCGGCTGTCCCCTGGTGGTCAGTGCATGTCATAGCAATCGGCTGTTCCCCAGTTAGGGTTAATTTGCATACTACCCTTTTATTACATAGGATGCTTCCCCGACAGTTCTCGTTTCAGAGAACTTAGCAACTTTGTCCTGGGAAATCGGGTGCCATGAGCCTTGGTCTTGTTCCCACCAGGTGTCAGAACGGACAGCTGTGGGGTCACTGCAGCTCCCATCTCAACTTTTCTGAATCCGAGTGACTCTGCTCAGGCCTCCCCGAGAGCTGCTCCCTGTCTGCGGGAGTGACCCATCAAAGCCTGGTCCCCTCAGCCACGTGAGCATTGTGCCTCCTCTCCTGCAGGAGAGGCCCTCTCCCAGCCCCCTCTTCTCTGAAGAAACACAACGGAGACCAAGTGAGAAGTAGCTACAGTTTAATACCAACCTGCACCAGAACACAACGTGCCGGGCTGCCTTGTTTTTGCCTCCAAGGGGTGGTCAAAGCACGGGACCATGTGTTGTCTCGGGGTTGACACAATCTTAGCACCATGACTTTTACAGAGGAGTGAGGTGGGGAGTGTCCCCGGGTGCTGGGGTGCCGGAGGCTCCATCCCGACCCCGGGCTGTGCCTGCCGCCTGGGCAGCTGGAGGGGGTGTGGGTCTGTGTGGTTCTGTGGTTTCTGGGTCGGTATTGGAAAAGCCCTCGTGACGGCATTGGCTTGACAAGAGACCTACTGTGGACTCCTAGCACTACACACTCACACACACAGGATAGCACAATTTTCTGTAACTGAACCCCACAAACCTAGAGAGCAGCTAAGGCAAGAAAACAACAGTATTTATTCAGCAAGTACAAGACCAGTTTGAGAGCTGCAATCAGTGCAACCAGGAGCCAGTGGGGTTGGTGATGGAGCCGGCGGGAGCTATACACGGGGGCGAGGACTGGGCGGTGGGGGCTGACCATGTACTTGGTGCCTCGAACCTCCTTCTGATTTTTCACCTAGAAGCTCCTGGGCGAGGGCGGGGTCTCTGTAAGGATCAGGGTGGGTGGAGCGGAAGGCCTATGGTGGTGGACCACGTGGTGAAGACGTGGCCTCCCGGAGCCCCGGGCCATGCGTCTCTCTAGCGGAGGCACTCAGAGAAGGTAAAGCTTTCCTCGCCCAAGCAGGGTTCCTCTGCCCGTGGGCCGCCACCCCTGCTTGGCTCTTTGGCATCTGCCCAAGGCCCATGACCCAGCACTACCCCAGGGGCCCGCGTCATTGCTCCCCAGGCCCAGAGCCCTTCCTACGCCTGTGCCCCATGGCTGCCACCCTCCCCCAGTGCCTTTGCTGCCTCTGATCCCTGGATTACGGTCTCTGTCAGATCAGCCCCTGAGCGAAAAAGATGAGCGTGAAGGGACAAAGGCAGATGTGGACACAGCTCAAGCCACATGGCCAGACCCCGGCGTGCACGTAGTCCGGGCTCACACGGGGAATACGCATCCATTTGTTTATGACAGAAATCTACCTACCTGTGCAAAACAAAGCAAAACGCCTACCGGGGAGTCTTCTGACCGGTTAGACTCCGTGGGATCTACCAAGGGACCTTACCCCACTCTTCCTTTCCACAGCTGGGGGGGGGGGCACGGACAGCCACGCCCTTAAGGGCCGTCGCGGGCACTTCTGAGGTCAGAAGGCCTCCACTTCCTGGGCCCCTCATCTTTGAAACGGAGAGAATCACACGCGCCCCGTGATGGGAAGCACGTGAGCGCTCGTGTACGGAAGTGCTTCGAAACACGAAGGGCACGATGTACGGGGCAGGACCGCCAGCCCGAGTCCAGGAGCCACGCGCAGCCTGGGGCGCTCAGACTGAATGTGCAGCATGAGATCACCCCCCCCCCCCCCCCCCAGGGAGGACAAGGCTGAGCAAGGGCAGGCGGCTGGGAGGTCACCAGCCTCTAGTGTTTCCACGGAAACCTCCTGGAGCTCCGGAGGCAGGGAGGGCCCCTCTGCATGTGGGAGGAGGTGGAGGCCACGGCAGGTGAGGGCAGCGTGCTGTCCACGGGGGGCCGGAGCACAGCAACGCGGGGGGCCCTCCCGTCAGGTTCTGCTGGCCTGGCCTCCTCCCCTGCACCTGGCCGGCCACACCCTAGCCCTGCTCCCCCTCTCTTAGCAGGCATCAGGCCTCTTGCCAATCACACAGGGGGAGCAGCCAGGCCTCGTACGCACAGCAGGGCGATTTACAGGAAGTCGGGTGTCTGACAGACGGGAAACGCCTTCTTGCTCCCCAAAGGTCTCCTGGGCCAGCATCCTCAACATCCTCTCGGAATGCAGGCAATGAGACCGGGAAGGGATGCGATGGGAACAGGGCCTGGGATGGGGCCTGTGCAGCCTGGAAGACTCCATGGGGGGAAATGGGGGGGGGGGGCCTGAAAGTCTAGCACCCCCTCCCCCGGCCCCAACCCCCGCCCTGGGCTGTCTGGTTGGTGTCGAGTGCAGCATCTCCTAAGGTCCACATCTACTCCTGTTGCTATGCTATGCTAGGACACAAAGCACCGTTATTTTCCACAGGGATGCACAAACAAGTCAAACCAAACCACTGCGCAAACCAAACGTGCAAAACAAAATCCTGTACACGCGCCCGGCATCGGCCCTGCACCCGCACCCTGCACCCCGCCCAGCTCGCCCTTCCGGGCCTGGCTCCCAGAGGGGGTGGGCGGGGAGAAGAAGCCGCTAGAGGGCACAATGTCCCAACAGCACCCACACCCAGGGTGTCCCCACGGCGCCCACACAGGGCCGGGGCCGAGTCAGGAAACGGGACATCCTGGGCACGGCGGGGCGGCGAACACCTGGCTAACTGCAGGAAGGGGACCACGGGGTCTCGGGGGCCGGGGGAGGGAGTCCTCTTAGACACGTCTGCTAAAGTGCTCTGGACGCCTGGCGGGCCGGCCAGGGGCAGGGCACCGAGCCCGGGCTTCCCCGGAGCCAAGAGGAGGGGCCGGGCCAGGCTCTGCCTCGGGCTCTGTGCCTGGTGTGGGCCTGCTGGGCGCCCCAGGCCAGGGCGGGAAAAGACTGCGGCAGGAGGGACACATCCCGAAGCGCCTGCTGGGTCGGCTCGAAGCATAGGGGTCACGTGTCGGACATGGGAGGGCTCCGGGTCCTGCGGCCCCTCCTGCCCTGGCAGCTGTGCGGGCGGGCGGGCGGGCGGGCGGGCGGGCGGGCGGGCTGGTGGCTGCGGCGCATCCTCACGTGGGGGGCTGGGCGGTGCCTTTACCAGATGCCACTCGACCGGCCTCCTGGGGGAGCGAGGATCCGGGCGGAGGCCCGCTTTGGAACGTGGTCATCGATCTGAGAGCCTGCAGGGAGGGGAGGAAGCGGAGGGGGAGCGGGGCTGCTCTTGTCTGGGTCATCCGAGCCCGGCCATGTCTCCTGAGGGAGGCTGCTAGGCCTCCGTGGGCATGGTCCGCGTTAGTCCTCACAACGCCACCCCGGTTTACAGGCCTGGACACAGGCTCAGGGAAGTGAGTCACTTGCTCTCTGGTACACAGAGTGTAAGCGGCAGAGCCTGGATTTGAACCAGGTCTTCCTCGTTCAGAATCTCCACGATTCACTGCCCCTCTCCCCCATGCCACCTTCACTGCTCCCACGGCAGAGTCTCTTGCGGGCAGCTCGGACTATGGATTGGCCCCTGGCAAGTGGGCCTCTGTCCATATGCCTCAGCGAGAGAGAGAGAGAGAGAGAGAGAGAGAGAGAGAGAGAGAGAGAGAGAGAGAAGGGGCATCATTGTTTTGCAGACCCTGAAGGTTCCCCCCTTTTGAATGCCAAGACTGAGTAGGAACCGGAGGCCCGGTGCCCCAGGGGGCAGTGGGGCAGTCTTCAGCCTGTCCGGACTAAAACAGATACGGTTGGGGGCATTGTGGTGGAGACGCAGGCGCCAGTCCAAGCGGCCCTTGCTCTTACCAGAGAGGCTGAAGCTGGATTCGTGAAGGTCCCTCATGCCCCCGTGCCGGGTAACGGGCCGGGTCGGAGTGTCTGCGAGCGGCGTTCCCATCTCTTTCTTCCCAGGATGCACGACGACGGCTACATCCCCCAGGTAGGGAGTGCGGTCCACTCCCTTCACCTTCAAGGTCTAGTGAGCGGAGGAGGAGGAGGGAAACGACCCCATCAGAGCCAGACTCCACCACCAGAGCCTCCCCGATGGCTGCCGTTCTCCTCAAGACGCAAGTGACTGCCTCAGGGGCCTGCTTTGCCTTGAGCACAAGGGGTGGAGGATTATTTCCTTGTGCCTCTATAAACAGTGCACGTGTGTGTGCACCCATGCACATGTGTGTGCACTGGCTTGCCCTCAATATATTTTTTTTAATTTTAATTTTTTTATTTTTTAAAATTTTTTAAAATTAAATCATCTGTGTACATATACCATTACCCTCCCCCCCCCATACATGCCCTCCCTCCCCAGTTTTGTGTCCATTGGTTGTACTTATATGCGTGTATACAAATCCTTCGGTTGATCTCTTATCTCCCCCAGATCTCCCTACCCTCCCCGCTGTAATTTGACAGTCTGCTTGTTGCTTTACTGTCTCTATATCTATCGTTTGGTTCGTCAGTTTATAATGTTCTTTATTATCCATAAATGAGTGAGGTCATGTGGTGTTTCTCTTTCATTGACTGGCTTATTTCACTCAGCATGATGTTCTCCAATTCCATCCAGGTTGCTGCAAGTGATGAGACTTCCTTCTTTTTTATGGCAGCATAGTATTCCATTGTGTAGATGTAACATAGTTTTTTGATCGCCCTCAATATTGGTGGGATCTTTTCCAAGGTAGCAGGTGAACTTCTGAGATAGTCCATCCTGTAGGGCACCCCTCCCCTGAAGCAGCGGCATTCCCCTCACTTGCTGGGTTACTGAGAGGCCATGAACTTCTCCAGACCTGGCCTGGCCACGTAAGTGTTGGGGGGCCCAGACTCCACCCAGCCCACTGCAATCACAAGGGAAGTGGGTGCCTGAGAAAGAGCAGCTCCAGGCCAAGACAGGGAACCCGTCCCTGAAGGATGGCAAGAATCCTCCCAGGACCAGCGGCAGGCTCAACCGTGAGCAGCTCAGTGTCCCCTTGGCTCCGGGGGCACGGGGACCCTTCCGGTACATTTACTCCATCTCAGGGACTTCCTCCCTATCTATTGGTCCTGTTCCCAATGTGACACTCCCGGCGACAGGATGCAGTGGGGAAATAGAGTGAGGACGTCTTTGAGATTTAAAACAATCACATGAGCCGAAACCGGTTTGGTTCAGTGGATAGAGCGTCGGTCTGCGGACTGAAAGGTCCCAGGTTCGATTCCAGTCAAGGGCATATACATTGCTTGCGGGCGCATCCCCAGTGGGGGATGTGCAAGAGGCAGCTGGTCAATGTTTCTCTCTCATCGATGTTTCTAGCTCTCTATCTCTCCCTTCCTCTCTGTAAAAAAAAAAATCAATAAAACATATTAAAAAAAATAAAAAAATAAAATAAAACAATCACATGAGCTGCCCCTAACGGGGACCTTCCACCTCTTCCCGCACATCCTCTTCCCCACCCCCCGCCTCACCTTTTCCCTCTGGACCAGCTTCTTGTAGACGGTGTCTGGGAAGGACCGCAGGGGGCAGAACTTGCCGGTGCCCTCGGCGCACATGAAGACGCCGTTCTCGTACACCACCCGCCCCCGGCTGATGGTGACCAGCGGCACGCCGTGGCAGCGCATGTTCTCGTACAGGTTGAAGTCTCCCCCCTGCACCTGGGTGCTGGCCGAGATGGTCCTGGCGGGAAGAAGTGGTGGGAGAGGGAGCTCTGAGGGGAGGCAAAGAGGCTGCAGCTCCATGGGAACGGAAGGTGCTCACGGGGGAGGGCTGAAGTTCAGAGGGAAGGGGTGGTGCTCAGGGGGAAGGGAAAGATCCCCAAAGGCTGGTGGCTATGAGCTGAATTGTGTTCCCCAAATTTATACGTTGAAGTCCTAACACCCAGAACCTCAGAATGTAACCGTACTTGGCCTTTAAACACCTAATCAGAATGAGGTCCTATGGCTAGACCCTAGTCCACCCGATTTCCGGTGTCCTCATACAAAAAGAAAATGGAGGCAGCAGGAGGACACACAGGGGAAACACCGTGTGAGGAGGGAGAAGGCGGCCATCGGCAAGCCAAGGCGAGAGGCCTCAGGATGCGTCCACCCTGCCGACACCTCGATCTGACTTCCAGCCTCCGGAACTGTGAGGAGACCGGTTTCTGCCGTGTCGGCCCCCCACGCTGCAGTATGTGTTAGAGCAGCCCTAGCACGCTCCTGCACTGGGCTGAACTCTATAGGGGGTCTTCCACCAGCAGCCGGCCCATCACAGAGGCGGGAACCAGCCCCTGGCGCCAGGATGCAGGACAGGGCTCCTCCAGGGCCTGGCGAGGGCAGTGTGGGGACGGTGGCATAGGGATGTGGTGGTGCCCGGCGTGGCCTTCCTTTCACTTTCGTCTTCCCGCACATTCCTGCCTGCCCTGTTCACTGCTGGCTTGGGCGCCTAGAAAAGTGCCCGCCAAGCAAATTCAGGGCTGGGCCGGGGTGGCCTTACAGCTGTGAGCGAGCACGCTAAGCACAGAGTTCTATTATTCATTAATTATTGCATTACTTACTAATATTAACCTACTTTTTGCCACCGTGTATTTGATGACTGAATGAAATTCAGTATCAAAGACACGATTCTCCTCAGCCCAGATCTTCAGGCGAAAATGATGCCCTGATTCCTGCTGATCACTCCTGACACGCTTCATTCTCGCGTTCGACACACGCTCACGCACGCCGAGGGTGCCGGCGCCGTGCGTTCAAGGAGCCGCCCGCAGCGAGAGGAGCCGAGGCTGCAGGAGCCCGGGACGGAGTGCGAGGCCGTCTGTCCCGTTCGGCCACGCAACTAGCTACGGGATGTGGCCTTAGGGAAAGGAAATCTCGAACCCCAGGCTGGAGTGCTTCTTGGGGCTGTGAGTCCAATGAAATGAGACAATGGATGGGCAGCCACTTTGAAACACTGTCAAGCCCCGTGCAGGTGGAGCTGTCACTGCTGTGCCCCCCCCCCCCCCCCCCCCGGCCGGGCTCTGGGAGGCCCGGAGATAGTCATTCCGCTGAACACGCCTCAGGGCACACTCCCCTGTGCTAGGAGGAGTGCAGAGAGGCTGTGCTTTTGGGATTCTGCAACACAAGCTCCTCACATCCCCAGCCCCAAGCCCAGCCCCGGAGACCGGCAGCAGGCTTACTTTGTGGCTTCGGGGTCCCACACCACCACGTCGGCGTCGGCCCCCGGGACGATGCGGCCCTTGCGGGGGTACAGGTTGAGGATCTTGGCTGCATTGGAGCTGGTGACGGCCACAAAGCGGTTCTCGTCCATCTTTCCTCCGACCTGAAACACAGCAGAATGTCAAGTCGGCCAGGCCCGGGGGGCGCCTTGGCACCCCTGGCTCTGGCCTGTGGCCTTGAGTCGGCCGGAACAATGGTGC